GTTGCTTTCCAAGTCAATCAAAAAACCCACATAACCAATGAATGATATACCTCTGATTAGGGTGGGAGGTTCTCCCTGATGACTACTGATCTCATCCTTCTGCAATTAAACTTGCACCTATTCTTTTCCAGCCTGCCTTAGTGAACCCATATACATGGGTTACACTCATTGCTTTACAAGGTCAATCAAAAAAACCACATAACCGGAATTACATGATTTATTAATTACAGTGTTTGCACAGACATAATCTAATTGCTTCAGGTAATCATACACAAAAAGAATGAAGCCAATAGGACCTATGGTTGCTGAGATATTGCTTTTGCAGTGGAGAGGGGCAGAACCTAGGGAGGGGTGCCAGAGGTCTGAGTCTGGGGCAGGTTGATTAGATGCCAACGTGATTAATCTGGGGCGAGATAAAAAAGAAGCGCCCGGTAGATAAGATTAGAAAGTTGGCAGTTGGTAGTTGATTGTGAAAGTGCGCGCGACCTAAGTACGACCTCAGTCCGACCTCAGTTAGGCGAGGTTTTACTATCAACTATCAACTTTCACTTACAGCTTGCAACTCGCCGGGGGGATCTGGCCGTGTTTTCAAGGATTTTAAAAGGCGCCTGCCTTATATGGTCATTAGGCGCTCACGAAAGTTGCGAGTTGCGAGTTGCACATGCGCGTAGATTAAATGTACAATATCACCGCCATAATCCACCGTAACCGTGGCGGTCAGCGTCCAGGATGTCATGAAGCGCTTGAGATCGTAAACAACCCTGTCCGTAGAGGCGCATCACGCCAGTCGACCAAGTGAGACCAGCAGATTCGTGCCAAGACCTCGCAATAGCATACGTACGTAGCAGGTGGATGGTGGCGGTTCGCGACAAGAAGAAACAGGCGCCTATAGCACTGAAGAAATATGGGCGCTAGCGATGTTCGCTCTCTTTCCGACAACCATCATGTCACTGTAATCCAGCGACATTCTAGCGTCCGGCACACACACAATTAAAGGATCTCGAAAAAAATGACGCTTTCAACGTACCTCTGTACCAGTCTGTACCGCCTTCCGCCATGAATTTCAAAGTGTGAAGCAACATCATTCCGCTTATAGCGGAATGATCGTTTGCAACTCTGCTTCTGTTGCCTGCTATGCTTGCGGCCACCCCTGACCAGCCGCACATCGCATGCCCAGAGGCCTGAGTAACGAGGTGAGAAGCTTTAACATTGGACTAGATTGATACTCACCATGTCTTAGGAAACACACCGAGGCTCGCCCCCATTCAAATGAACACGCACAGCGTTCGGATTTCAGCATCAAAGCAATCATTCTGATGCATCGCGATGGCCCACAAGTGGAGCCGCCATATGCTCATGCTTCGCTACACAAGCAGACACAGGCGCCACTGTTACTGCGACGACGCGGACGACTGCGAACGGATCTTCTCGTAGTGACCATCTCGGAGAGTCGGGTCCTCGACCCCATTTCGGTGATCGCCACGGCATTCTTGGCATTGTCCGTTCAAAGCCGGCGGTGAACGCTGCTACCGCATGCGACCTCGACCTGGCGCGGCCAGATGCGTCCGCCTACTGTGCAGGTACCCCGTTGCGAGCTACACGACTTGGCAGTGCCGCCTACAACCTGTCTTCGCGTCATGGTCTTCGAATGCATAGCGAGACAAAGAGTATATAAACTGAGCACAGTGCGACTGGTGTCTCCAGCACTCTGCGAGTCTCCCTCCCACACTCCTCACGTTCTTCTACCTATCAAGTTCCCATTCACTCAATTTACCTTCCAGTCACTCGTAAAAGATGTTCGCCCGCTCGTTCTTCATCCTCTCCGTCCTGAGCTCCACCTTCGCTCTCTACACGAACTACTACCCCCGCGGATACGATGCTGCCCTCGGTGCTCGCGCCGACAGCCCCGCCGACCAGGACCTGCTGAACTCGTGCCCCGGGGGGCCGGGTTCCAGCGCCGTAGAGCACGCTGATAAGTGCACCCTGGTACGCTGCGGCCTACGTCGTCTCCCATGGCTTGTGCTCACGTGTGCATACGTCTAGGTTAACATCGTCAACAACCCCAACACTCGCACGTTCACCGTCCTCGGCGACCCCCAGCTCAAGTACGTCTGCCCTACATCCTGCACACGACGCATATACTCACGGAAATCATAGCTGCGGCGGCGCGACGGACCCGGTCACCGTGACGCTCGGCGGCCAACAGACTATCACCGAGACCACCACCGTCGACGCGAACATCGGCGTCAGCCTCGAGGGCGTCACGATCGGCGGCGGCGCCTCGTCGTCGAGCTCGACCGCTAACACCGTGTCCAAGACTATCAGCTACACGGTTCCCCCGGGCCGCCAGGCGGTGTTCGTCGCTGGGACCGCGCAGCAGTCCCAGACCGGCAACGTCCAGGTCAACTACGCCGACCGCCAGTTCGGCCACTTCATCGTGCGTGTTACTTCTAGGAAGTCGTTGCGATGTCGACGGCTGATATGGTCGATCCGCGTCGTTTCAGTGGTTCACCGGCGCGACTGTTACTCAGCTTACCCCTATCACGAGTGACGTCGAGTTTGACGTCCACGAGACTGCTTGCGGTACGCGCTTTCCTCCCACTTTTTCCTCTTCTATATTCTGATCCGTTGAGCGCAGGCACGGACCCCCGCGACATCAACAACCATAGCTAAACTCGTCACCTCTTGAACGGTCGACTATCTTACCCTGTACGCAGTGATTAATCTCTCCGTGGACCATCAACCTGCATAAGTACTTGTACCCGCTCCAGACCTTCTCACCACCGTATATTTGTACATGTACAATATCTCACGATGCGTTGGCATCTATCTAATATTCTTATTGCGCATACGTTCACGTTTCTTCGGCAATCCACTCATGATTCATCCTCTCATCGGAGAGGCCTTGCGATTACCCCTTGTAATTGGCGTATGTATGCGCTGCAAGTTTGAGGAGCTATCGATATAATATGAAGAGGTTATGCCTATCATCTGCATCTCATATGATACTCCCAGTGGTTGTCGGACCCAAATAAGAGTTACTCAAAGTTTGGGAGTCCGTTCGCGCACGCCACGCCGAGGGACTTTTTGGCGCTCATGGGCGTCTCCGAACCGTCACTTCAACGAATTCCCTCTTGGCTTCGCACCCTCACGCGCTTCTCATCTGTCGTCCATCTGAGTACCTGTAACCCAAACTCGCACGTCTTGGAAGAATTATAGGTCTGCGTGGGTTCTCTCTGGTTCAACGCTTGTTTGGATTCGTGGTGGCGTCTCGGTTTCTACGTCACATCCGAGTCGGGGGCCTACTGGGGTTGCGCGGGTGGGTTCCAGCAATACTTACTTCCCCTTGGTAGGTTGGGTGTCGTGCAAAGCTTTCTACATCAGGACCAAGATCTAATGAATACGGCTGTAAGGCACCATGTATTTCTCTTATATGACCACGATAGATCCTGATATTGTAGATAATCGATGCTTGAGTAAGTAGTGCGATTTGGTCCCTGCGACTCGGCAAAGGTAGCTCAGTACCCCCCATCGAAGTGCAGAATAAGCTGAACCAGATTTATTCATAGACGCTATCTCAACCATATGCGTATGCTGCTACCGCAGGGTCACATCGCGCGGTGGCCAAGCAGTTCAGGAAGCTGCCTGCGGGCCGAACATATCCTGCTCTTGTTGTCCAAGCGTCTACGCCACCTACAAGCTAGCGTGTCACTCGGACCATAGACTATGCGCTTGGATATGCACGGTATATAACCGTAAGTTGTCCACAAACACGGTGTCATTCGCTTCGAAATCCCCGTCGACACCCCGTAGCGTCTCTTCTCACATCGAACAAGGTACGTCACTATGCGCAATGAAACGTCGAGCAATCACTGACAACGGTAGATACTTCTTCGACAGGCGACAACAATGCAATATTCCTCGTCAGAGTCTGCGGCGCACCGTTGCTTACCAGTCAGCGAGATCTTCGAGCTCATTGCCGACTCGCTAGACCCCAAGTCGCGGCGCCGTACACTGGCAGCGCTTGCGCAGACGTGCAAGACGTTGTACGAAGCGTCCGTACCTGTGCTTTGGAAATCGCAATGGGGCCTCGTGAGGCTGTTGCGGCTTCTTCCTTCTGGCACATGGTCCGAAGTTCGTGTTGAAGGCCGAAGCACTCTCGTGCGTTATTTTTTTCCGTCTACACTCGCTTAACTGACTAGGCGAATACACAGACAATCATCAAACCCAACGAACTCGAGTTGACGAGATTCCGTCACTACGCCCACCACGTTCGGACGCTGTGCTGGAACGGGGATCAAGATGATGTCTCGCTCGACACCCTGTCGGTGCTGGAGTCCGTCCGCGGCGCCGCGGGCCAGCCGCTTTTCCCGAAGCTCGACGAACTGCAGTGGTATGAGCCTCGCGCAGAATATTTCCCCTTCATCCGCCTCTTCCTCACGCCGACCATTCGAACCATGGGTCTAGCACTGCCCGCCGATTTTGATGTGCCCATCATGGTGGAGGCCCTCAACCACGTAGGGAAGACGTGCAAGAACGTGGAGTGCCTTCAAGTCGTCACGAATGAAGAGGAAAACCAGGGTTGCAGGGACTGCACGGGCGACCTAGGCGACGCTCTCGCGGAGTCCCTCGAAGGCATGAGAAATCTCACGAACTTCGCCGCGGAGATGCTCTTGTCGGCGAATTGCATGGCGGCGCTGGCACAGCTTCCTGGGCTGTCGGTCCTGCAAATCGTCGTTAGGAATGCAGAGGTGGACGTGTTCGCTGTTTCGACATGCTTGCGCGAAGGCCCATATTTTCCTGCACTCAGTCTACTGGCAATCAACGTGGATGGACTCGACGGGAGCACGGAGACTATCCTACAGGCCATACAAAGCGAGGACCTGCAAACGGTGTCACTGCACGCCACATGTCAACCTGAGGCCTCGGCAATAAGGCAACACCTAGAAGTCATCGCGGCCTCCCCGTACCGCGACGCTCTAATCTCCTTGCGACTTGGGTTCGATATTCCCTTCTCCCGGGACGGCGGGCCCTATCCCGCGTCTGACGTCGGACATGCGCTCCAGCCGCTGTACGCCCTTCCCCAAATCGACACCTTCACCATCCAAGGTCACAAACTCATCGTCGACACGAACACACTCCGGGATATCGCGACCGCCTGGCGTAAGCTCGAGATCCTCTCCATAATCGATATGAGCGACCAGCTGCACCCCGACAGTGGAGCGCACGTACCCCTCGATGCTCTCATACCGGTCGCGCGCGGCTGTCCATCCTTGTACCTCCTAGAGCTCCACGTGAATACGTTTGTGGTGCCAGAAGAGGCGACGGTTGCACGGCTACTCCCGCAGCCGTCACAGTCTACGCTGCAGTACCTCAGCCTATACAACGCGCCGATCACTACGCAGCCGTCCCCATTGATGACATTTCTGATACGATTGTTCCCCGAGCTGCGCGAGGTAGAGCACCATGAGACAAGGACGTGACGGTACGAGGGACAGGGAGTGATTGACTTGAAGGGTAGGTGGAAGGTTATGTAGGATTTGCTGCAGGCGAATTAACCGCGTCCAAGCAGATCTCGTTCATTAGCAAGTCTTCCGAATAGTTTTTGAGTATCTTAGTATGTTTCTTTACTCATTCCGTCTTGCGCTATTTAGAGAGGCGTCACTTACCACTTGATTTAACTGCTTTGCAGCGTACTTCGCACGATGTGCACACTGTAGGGTATATTCGTGCACTGATTCTTACAGCGCTGGCCCTAGCAATGGACAGCCTCATCGTACGGTCAGCCCGACTACATGCTCCACCCTACGTCGCTGATATTGCCCTCGGCTTCACTACATAAACAGAATGCACATTGCGCCATCGTGGCTACCTATTGCGGGTATGAGCGCAGCGCGCCCTCCCGAAGCCGGCGTGGGTGCAATGCTCCCGATATCGTTATCAGCACCCAAGCGTCTGCCATCTGCAGCCATCCCGCCCACCACCACTTCTTATCGTCAGAAGACCACGTTCGAGTTACGTTCTCTCGCTACCTCTTCTGTCGGGCATAGACTCATACGATCGCATATAGGCATACACATTCACAAACACTCGTTACTAGAACACTGTCCACTCCGACGTTCAGCTCCGGGTCGTCGCTCCCTCTGCTCCGTCATCCTCCATTCACCGCGTGGTTCTACTAATGTCTTCAGAGAATGGCAGGGAGGCAGCCGATGGAAAGGAGACCACCTGCGAATACAGTAAGTATCTTTCAAACACTCGACTTTTGAAGAATGTCGCTGCGCTCTAATCTTACCGAAGCTGTTGTTCTCGCAGCACACAGCGTTGGAGGAGCTATTACAGGTCGGTTAACTCGCGATTCACTGCGAATGATATCGAACACAGCTTACCAGGCGTTGCCGCTTCCCACGCCGACGACGCTGATGGGGGAGCAGGTGACGCCGATCGGGATGTTGATGTCCTGGAGGATGACACCGATAGCGGCCAGGATCGGCGCGATACCCAGGCTGTCGGCCGACTGGACGGAATTGCAGCACTGGAGTGCGCCGGTCGAGCAGGAGCCGGCCTGGGGCGTCGGGCTGGCGACGGCAAGGATTGCGAGCGCGGTGAACGCGGTGAAAACAGCGGTGGTCTTGGCGAACATGTTGTTGGAGAGTGAGGGAGAGTGAGGCGAAGCGGGGAGAGCTGGAGCTGAAAACGCTTGGAGTGAACGACGGTGAGTGTTCAGTGAGGAATGTCGGGCTCTTCACAAGCCTTTTATATTTGAGCGACCGTCTGACGACCTCGAACGATATTTGCAGAGATGCATCGCTACTCGCCAAGACTGCGCGGAAGTGCGCCTGCTGCTGTCGCACGGACGTCGCATCGACCAACCAGGCAGCGGAGAAGACAGGTGTCCAAATGCCTCCGCTCCACTCCCACCGCAGTGCATTCTACTAGACGAGGCGGTGTCACACCTCGCCGTGCATACACACATGTACGTACTCATTTCTCGAGAGCATACACGGATCACCGGCCCCTTCCGCCTATGTGGTAAACTTCTTTTAGGGCGCGAGTGGAGCACTGGCAGATGGCATTGGCATCATGCCAAAAATGTTGCACACGCTACACGCAATACGAAGAAGATCCCGCGGCGGATGTGTGTAATGTTGCATGCTGCGAAGGTATTATGGCATGTACTCCACATTGTGTCCTTTGTGCCTTGGAGCTGAAGCGATGAGATATCGAATCACACAGGATCAGCCTCCCGTCGACCACCAGCTCTACAGGCCCTGTGACTCCGGATACCTCCTTTATGCTCAATCACAGCGGACACTGACATAGCCTAAGCAAGCAGATGACGGGGCGCCCGTATGCTACTTGCACCGACACATGCTCCCACATAGCAACGCTCATATGGTTCAAGCGGTCCAATACCGGTACAGGTATGTCATAGAACCCAGCGAGTCCCGAGATATGATATTCCCGTCCACTCACGGGATACACAACGAGCGCCGCAGGTCTGTCTACCCCGGAGAATCCAGACCCACTTCGGGCATGCTCTGCGCGAAGTACTCGACACTGTTCAAGCGAGGAAGCGAGGAAGTACAGGAACCCGCTTGGTTGCTCCACAAACACGCTCGTTCCTCTTGGCTTGACGTTATGCTCTCCGGGAGACAGTCGCCCACCTTATCCGCGGTGGACGCGGCGGGACCTCCATTGGCCTCCAGCACGTATGTCTGATTCCACCTTTCCGTGTCTTCCTGTCTTCCATCTTCTTTGCTCTCATCTTCTATCAGCTGCGGCGCCCAGACATCGGGTTGCCACCCACACCATGCGCAGGACGTGCATTCTGTCCTTTGTCTCTGACATGATCGCCTATCGACCTGTGCATCCTGTACATCCAGGCCAAAAACAAACCGCCGGAACACGGATTCTGTTCATCTGCCACGCGGAGATGAAGCGTGTTCTCTACGACGGGCCCCGGCACGGATGAGGTCACCTCGCCCGCTCTGGGCGAGGGTCGTCGCTCTATCCCCGCTCGCCGCCTCGTGGATGGTGGGACGCGCATGTGTGGGGGCGCGGGCTCTCGTGAATACATTGCGGCGGTGCTGCTGGGAACTGCACCCGGACCGAGGTACGTTTTCGTATTTGTCGGAGCGGCATTGCTTGTCAAGTTCAGGGCGGGAGGAGGGAAGGCGCGGAGTGGATATTGGGTCCGAGCCATGTGGTGTGAGCTCGTCGGCGAGCGGCGATGGGGACGGGGAAAGTATGGTTTGCGTGCGGGTGGTTGAAGGCTCATGCGATGCAGCGCTTCTTCGCTTGCTGTATTTGACGAATGGAAGTGCTGACCGCTCGGGCATGTCGTCGACGAAGGGACCCCAATCATATGTAAGTCTCCCCGTCCCTCTTGGCATCTATACTCACTCTTTCCAGATATAGCGGACAGGTTAAATAGAGATAACGCCCATCGCTTGTAGTGACAACCACACACCATTCAAGTGCATGCACGTTGTCGCAGATTCCGGGAGAGACACGCTGAACCACGATATTCGGGTCTAAATCATATTCCAGCGACTAAGCAAACGGTACGTTCTTCCGAGAGATACAGTGTCAATGCGGGCGATGATGATCACGCTCTCGTATCATAGGATAATCGGAATACAGCCGATAGAGATGAGCGAGCCTGCCAAACACGCGGTGAGTAAAGGTCCGCCAACTTCGAGCCTCCGATATTCTCATCGTGCCATTTCGCTTACCTACGGAGTTGTCCTCGCAGCAAACGGTGATCGCCGAGCTGCAACCCTCTTCAGCAAATTGCTCGCTGAACACACGGTGAGAGAGGAGACGTACCAGGCTGATCCAGATCCGAGGCCGATCCCGGTGATGGGTGCGCAGGCGATGCCCACGGGCAGATTGAGGTCCTGCACGACGAGGCCGAGGGCGCCGAGCAGCACGGAGGCGAGTGAGCTGCTCGCCGAGGTGACCTGGTTGCAGCACTGGATGGGGCCGGTGCTGCAGCTCTGCGGGGCGGGGGTGTTCGGCATGGGGCTGGCGGTGGCAAGGATTGCGAGCGCGGAGAGCGTGAAGAGGCGGGACATCATGGTGGACATGGCTGCGGGGTCGGTGGGTGGAGGTGCGCAGATGATGGTGTGCTGAAGGTTGATCTACAGGGACCGAGGCTTAAGTACGTGCTGCGCGGAAGATGACGACGAGGTATGTGCATGACTCCTTCACTCGGATGTTGACGCTCTGTGCCAAGGCGCGGCGACTCTACACGAACAAAACCTTTCGCAACATGTATTGCTGCTTGGCGTCAGCTTACACCGTCGTCATCGCCCCGGAGATGAAACTCTGCCATACAGTGCCCCTTCCGGGAGGCGTCAGAGCGGACCGTGTCCCATTTGGCCTCCTCGCGACTCTCGACTCTGAATTCTCGCTATTATCCGGGGCCGAAGCCACCCCACTTCTCATCGCCTACCGCCGTACACACACCGGCGACACAGGGTCACAACGTACACAAAACATATCGCTATTCCGAGGACGGCCCGTCTGCCTGGGTCGCCAAGCTTCGCAATCGAGGGCTCGAGACGTCGGGGGTGACGGGGGCGCATGTTCCCACTTACCTGAACGCCGTCTCTCTCACCCGTGCTAGAATTAGACCTCCAGGGGCTATTCCGGCGGGACCATGCTTGAGCCAAACGCTACGTCGTTCGAATAAGTACCTCCTGGCGGACCGGAATCAGATGTCGGTCAGTGCCAAGCCTTCGCAGGTTCGTGGCATGATGTGTATATTACTATGTCTTGTTGCCCGCGTATTCGGGGTGCTCGTTGCTGGGGCACAGGACGTAGCATAATTCGCAGACGTAGTCCGTATATCGCGCATAGGCGCAACCAGAAGACGTACAATACGCCCTACAACTAGAGCGAGTTCCCCGTGTTCGGGACGAATGTGAGCACCTGCAACGCACCCGATCAGTCACCTCTCCAACGCAGTGGGCTGAGCCTAACAAGGTTCGAAACACGTACCACCTCCTGCGCAGGCCCAAACTGCTCGCGGAACAGCTCGACGTTTCCCGTGAGCGTGAGCGCATCCGCATGCTCGACGTACACGATGTGCGCGCCCTGCGCCAGCGTGCCCTCCGCGTTGACCCAGTTCATGATGAGCGCGCCGTCGGCGCCGAGCGTCCATAGTGCGGACTCAACGTCGCGTGGTGTGCCGGAGGCGGCGGTGTATGCGTTTGGGGCGGCTTGTGCGGGTCCGGGGGAGACTGTGGGATGTGTGAGATATGAACAGGGGAGAAGAGAGGGAGGATAAGGAGAGGGGTACCTTCGGTGGTGCCGCCGATGTAGACGTAGTTCGCGTTCGCGTCGCTGATGTTGTCGTCCGAGCTCGTGAACCCGACGATGCCGCCGAAAAACGTGAAGTCAGCGAGACCGTTCTGTATCCCATTCATACTGTGTCAGCCCGTCCCCAACCCGTACACACCGCCGCGAGGGGAAACGCACCAGCGTCTCAATCTCGAACGGCACCCCGCTGTGTTTCCCGCATCGGCGCAGCACGACCTCCAAGGGCGACGTGCCCTGCGGCCCCAAACCATACTCCCCATACTCGTTCGCCGTCTCCGACACCGTACCACGCAGGGCGCCCGAGGTCGCGATAGTCATCTTCAGCGTGCCCGTCGGGTCTGTGCATGTGGTGGGCGACGTCCGTGGAGCGTGCACGCGTTGGAGGTTGCGCCGCGGGTTAGGCGGGGGCAGCCCGCTCGCGAGGCGCTGGGCGTTCGTGAGCACGCGCGAGCCGGAAAGGACTTGCTTGAGTGCGCGGAGGGGCACATCGGTAGGCCCGTTGAGAGGCGTGAAGGCGTCGGGGGCGCGGCGGACGCGCGTGGGACGGAGCGGGTCCGAGGTGTCGTCGCGAGCGTGGACTTCTAACCCGGCGAGTTGAGACTCTTTGGCGCGGGCCTCAAAGGCGGGTATATAGGTCGGCCAGTTTAAGGACGCATCGATGATAGTAGGGACTATTATAAGTGAGGAAGGAGTTCCTTGGACGGCGAGGGTGCCGGGAACGGCGAGGAAGGCGAGGAGAATGCCGCTAGCGAGCGTAGAGAGAAACATGACGGGATGAATAGTGAGTGTTGGTAAAGAGTGTGGTGCCTGTGAGCGTCAGGAAAAGCTGAAGAAGGGACAAGACCGGGGAAGACGTGAGGCGAGTCCTGAGCGGAGGAACGGGGGTTCCAGTGCGAGGATGGGGGGAGAGCGGTTGTCGTAGCGGGCGCGTGGTATATATACTGTTCTGGAGCTGACGCAGAGGAAAAGGTTAGCCCGTTCTGAGGTACGTTCTGAATCGGATGCTGTGGAACCGAGCAGGAAGCGGGCTCGCGCCTCGAGGTTGGGATTGGACGAGATGTTGGCTTAAAGCAGGTCCTTGTACTGCTTCTTGCTTGCGCTTCTCACAAAAACTGTTCTTTACTGCATTCTAGCCCGTGGAGTTGATCGGAAATAGTGTGAAGAGTGCTGCTTGCAGCGTCGGCTGGCGAGAGCCGAACACTGTGGGAAGGATATACGCCGATGTAAGGTGTATAGAACACCTCTGGCTCCCAAAAAGGTGTTTCGAACACCGAAAAGGGACACACTTAAAAGAATTGTATAATATAAATCGGTGTTCTACACACCTCCGTTGCTTGTCTGTCTGAGGAGGTGTTCCGCACACCTATTATATGCACATTTTTCAGAGGTGTTCTCCACAGCGACAACAGTAAAAGCTGTTCCCAACAGCTTTTAGCACTACCTAGGATACACACGGACGGAACGGCGGGCTCGGACCCGTTTCTCGTCGCCCTCAGTAACACCAGTCCACGCGTGCACCCTCCTTGATAACTATTCCCTCACCGGCACCGTCCGCCTTCGCCTTCATTTCTCTGCCCGCGCTCCTGCGATGCAAGACAGCTCTCGGAAGCCCCGTGATGCACCTGCCCTCATACGCCTTCGCCTCAAACAATACG